AAAAGTCGTCGATATATCTGAATGTGGAATTGAGTATGTATGTTATTTTACGTTCCATTCGAAACTTTTTCACATATATAGAGACGTAACCATATACCAATGAAGAGCTTCAAATTTTTACCTTTATTTTGCACTAAGGGCCATTGAGAAGTGAGGGTTCTTTATCGTGCCAACGCCTACTGTGACTAGGGACCTCAGTTTTGAAGGTTTCATTCGAAAGAATCCCCATGGGGGAATTCTGACTCCAGAGCGGGAGGACAACCGGGGAAGTTTCAGTTTAGAGCCACACTTCCCCGCAGGAAGACCTACTCTACTACTAGTTGTAGTCAGACGTCCCCCATAGCAATTTTTCTCCCTTCATTTAATCTTGCTTTTACAAGTACTACAGTCACTCGATAGTGATAATTTAGTTACCAAATCTTTACAGCGGTGCATTAATTGCCCCTGCTTTTACTGAAAGTGGGGAATATTAATTTTGGTCTGACTATGTATTATCGCACGTCCGACTAGATTATTTTCTTAGTGTAACACTTTCGTTTCTGGGCGATATCTTACAAAATATTTGAGCTCTTGCAATGGAATTTTACATCATATTTCGTACGGCTTAGAAGTACACCGTACTCATCTGTCTACTATAGTATGAAATAAAAGTTAATAAGACAGCATGAACACTAGTTTTGTATAAGTTACTACTTTTTAAAACAAAATTTATACCCTCCTTTTCCTATCCAATAAGTTCACAAATTTATAATTTCCCTTGATGGAGAGTGGATGTTTCAATATAAAAGGCAATAATTCAAAGGAAACATGGTCCTAGAGTGGGCCTTCCTCAAGGGGAACTAGTTTCACTCTAGAGCAAATCTTGCAAGAGGAAGTAAAGCTGTAAATTTAGGCTTCCCCCTTGTGTAGACTTACTCTCCTTTGAAACTTTTTGGGGGAAGTATAGCACTAGAAGGGAAGTATGCCTCTAGAGTCAGACCTTCCCTACCAGGGAGGAAGGCTCACACTAGAGAAAGACTTCCTGGGGAAGTCTCACTATGAGGGAAGTTTCGCTCTACAACACCGAGCGCTTTGCGAAGAAACAGTCAATACCTATGTTAACGTCTTAGGTCTGACGTGGAGCAGCGAACGAGAATCGAGCCCGGGTCTCCTTTTTACGAAGCTAACGCCTTGTCACTAGGTTACAGTAACCGGTATACATGGAATTGAAGGCCACAGCAAAAGAATTCTTTTTATGTTCATGTTTTTAATAAGTTTTGCTTCGTATAAACACAAAAACATGCCTGCTAAAGCGTCCAAGGGAATTCCAACAGATATTTAATATAAGACCTGACCTCCAAAAACCACAAGGATATTGTCGATGAGAAATTCAAGCATCTTTGAATATCAAATTCTGAGTACTTTTGTGTAGAATCAGAATGTTTTCTAACAAAATAAGTTTGCAGATGACCAAGACAAGGTATGCAAATTTATCAGTTTCATTTTTATTGAAGAAGCAGTTGTTTATGATGTCCAAATGTCTGGTCTTTAATTTATCGTGGGGAATCGTTTTATAAAGTACTGAAAAGTCGTACGTTTTGACGCTATTGATTTTTGTAATTTTTTAAATTTCAAATTTTCTAAAAGTTCCTTGGATTTTTTAAGCGTCCACATCTGATTAACACTCCTTCTCAAATATGTTGTTCTGCACTACTCCTGCAGTTTTGCCTTAACTGCTATTAATACTTTCGTGAGGAGCAAAGAAGGAAGATTGCTTGTTAGAACATTTATTAGAACTCGGTATGTATCTTTGTTTTTAAGGATTTTTATGAGGTTTAGAAATCCAATATAGGTATGGTCATTCCAATTCAATTTAGTTGTTGGGAATATTTAGATTACATGTATTTAAAACAGACATATGATTTTGAAGAATTTCTTCCTTAGAAATGGAACAATTACTCTGAATATAATGTGGATTACCACTTATAGAATTAAATCCAAGTTTCTCTAAAATACCTTTGTAATAATGAGCCTTACTTATATTTCTACTTGCTTTGTCAGGCTTTGTTAGCTGTGATCAGTACATATTGATCTAATCTATCGTATCGCCTAATGTAATCTATTTAATTCTTTTTTCACTTCTGAATTACTGAGGACAGAAGGATATATGGTTTTCTTATTGCCCCTCAACCGCTTAATACGAGATTTTTTAAACATCCATTTGATACGTATAATCTTTTCTGACGAAGTGTCCAAGTCTTCTTTTTTTAATATTTGACCCATCGCCTGGCATAATCTCTGACAGAATTGATAATGTTGAAATTTTGTCGCCGGTTGAAAGATCGGGGTTCCCTGAGATTCGACTTTTTGTAAATTGAGTGATTTTAGGTCTTAATTGTTAACTATATTCACGTCACCAGTATTGACGTATTCAGCAGGACTCTTGTTGTATGGAGAAGAACATGAACACGTAGGAAGATTAAATATCGTTTTTTAGAATTAAAAAAAGTCTTGATTTTTTGAAATTATTTTTGTTAATATTGATTTTGTTTGATTTAAGTGTCTTTTTTTATTGTTATTATTAGTCCCCTACCGGTGAAACCGGAGGGGACTATAGGTTTTTTTTTTTTTTTTTTTTTTTTTTTTTGCAATCCGTAGAAATATGTATATCCCCGTGCACTGTTTGTTTTGAATATTATTTAAAACTAAAGAAAATAAATTCTATTGATTACCCTTACATTCGAGACGGAAAGAAATAATACATAGCTTTGTTTTATTGAAATACTCATGTGTCCAATAACTTTTAACTTGGATTGAAACTCAATATTAAAAGACTTTTCTTATGTACCATTTAAGTATATTCGTTCATAAAGGTTACTTTATTTAATAAAATGATCTACTTGTCTAGAAAATCAGAGACCATTGAAAAGGCTAGATTAACTCTTGAATATCTGCATAATATTAAAAGACTTTTCTTAAGTACCATTAAAGGACATTCGTTCATAAAGGTTAGCTTATTAAATAACATGATCTACTTAACTTATCCAAAAGTCTACATTATAAATATGTGTTTCTGTGATCAATAGCAATTTGAAGAAAAATACACAGATCGTGCTGTTGCTTTCATTTTCTAGACAGAGAAGCTGAACAAGCTTAAAAAACGGCCTTATACAGTTATACTTTTCGATATAGTAATACTTATCGATATATATCCGGTAACTGTTGTGGACACTCTAAAAATGAGGTGATATTCATCTTCAATCTTGTTAAGAGAACATAATTTCCGTACGCATGCGCACGAAAACCGTCGTTTTATATAACGCAACTGACCCTGTTCTACAGCTAGTCTACGCAAAGATAATTTCTGTTTCGAGAGGTAGTGAAATACATTTTCCGGCATGCTTTTTTTTGTCGGATATTCATCGTAATCCAAACTAATTGGACAAGTTGTCTCACTTATTATTGTCATATTGATGCGGATTGATGAACAAATGTACTTTAATATGGTACTTATGAACAAATCTACATTTATGGTAATTAAGTGTTCTAATATATAACTTCAAAGGTTCCTTCTGATTTAATGGATGCTTAACTCGATCAATTAATATCCAAACTGTTTTCTGCCAAAGTTTTACTAATTGAAGCTATGTTGTATCAGTTATTAATTTATATCATTAAATTGCTTACTTGAGATAAAAATCATGCGATCTCGTAATCCTGCGAAACTCTTCAGAGAATAAGCAAATAAAAGAAAATGATGTGTGCATTGTTGAGTAAAAAAGCGCTTTAGACTTTATTTAGACAGAATATGATTTGGACTGTTCCAAAATGAAAGGACTTTGAGTATTTACTTTGTGTGTTCTATCGTCATTCGATCACTTTATTCCATAGTGCAGCTTGATTGCAAGTTTCTTGCGAGGTTCTTTTCAAATCTATCAGGGATATAGTGACATCAATTTGTTGAACAAGATGAAGTATTAGTATTTTTGCCTTAAAAATTCCCGATCGATACTGGGGACAAAAAATAGCAAATTGAAAATAATTTTATCATTCATTATGTGTCTCTATTTTTGAAAGATTTCTTTCAAATCTGCAAGGAGACTTCGGTAGATGAAACTTGAAAATTTAACTTGAAAAGCTCAGGTAGAGAAAAAAAAATCTGAAGAATTGGTATAAATATTGCTTATTATGTGGCAGTTTCTTTACAATTCAAGAAATATCTTGTCAGTTCTGTTTCTCTGCTAGAGGAAGTGACGTAGCTGTTTAATTATCTACTTTTTCTGATCTGTAAATCTTCATCTCCTCATGCTTTTCAATAAAGAAGAAAAATTAAAGAAATAGTTTTTTATTTGAATATCACATATTTAAAATTTCATAATTTCCAATTAATGCATAACCAATGAAAATTCAACTTAATTGAAACTATAAACAAACTATGCACAAAACTAACCAGAGTAGCTTTCCTTGTGCGTGTACAAGAAAATGTTTTTGGTCTTGTCATTGTTTCAATTTTGTTTCATGGATCTAAAAAAAGCAAAAAGCAACTTTATCTCAGCTTGAGAGACATCAGGCTTGACCTCGATGGTGAAAGAAGCAGAAGAATGGTGTGGAATGCGATATAAAATCACGTAAATTTTTTGCATGGAACCTGGCCTTAGAGCAAAAAAAAAAGCAAATGATATTAAATACTTGTACCGCCGAATAAAAATTAAAGTAAAGTAACGTGAAGTAGTGGAACGTAGGAATTGGTTGTTGTTATCAAACAGTGCAAAAACATTCATATCTTACATGATATTGATATAAACAATGACTTATACATTATTTAATCATACTCTGTTCTTTAGTGATATCATAAACATAAAGCTTTGTTTCTTTCAGCATTAAATATTCAATGTTTTTCTCTGGTATATATTTACGAATGGATATTGAAATGAATTGATTATAGCTTACATAAGTATTCCAAACAACTGGGTATAGAAAAAACTTAGAATGTCTGACGATTTTTAATAAAACGCTAAAATTTAATGTATTAAAAATCCAATTATAAAGACAGATATAAAGATAAATTGTTGCAACAGCGTAAAAATAAGGAATACCCGAAAAAATAACTCATCAAGAAACACTGTTATCATAGGCCAAGTGACGTCATTAGTCTGTTCAGGATAGGGTGAAACTGGTGTTTTTGACATTGGTACTCTTTCACTCTTAGAGTTCGATTTCGAATTAATTTTGGTTTCTTCCTCTTCGTTTACTACGGAGACTGTAAGGTCGCGAACTTTACTATCTGATCGCTTATTTTTAACTCCAGCAAATTTTCCTAAAATTCCGTTATATGCATTCAAAAACTTTGGTGAAACCGGGTCGTCTTCGTTTTTGTGGTGACAACGAAGAACCATGATGGAAAATGCAACAGATAACGTCCCAGCAGCCAACGTGGTTAATAGGTAGATAGCTGAAATAATAATATATTTAAAAAATAAGAGCGAGAAAAACTTAATTACTCATGCAATTACTCCGAATATTACGTTTATGTTTAAAAAAGTTTCTGCATTGTGTATCCATAGACACTGTTAACGTTTTATAGTGGAAAATTCAGGAAATGTTTTTACCTATATGTTTCACCCCCCCCCCCCCCATTTGATTAATTTCAAGAATGTAAATTAAACAGATTAGTTCCTAAAATACAAATATTCATTAACTGTGTATGTTCACCAGATGACTTACATAATGCAGATGTAGTGAGTGAAGTTGTTGGTAGATTTGCAGAGACAATGGTTAGATAAACGGCATATGCTAATAGAACCGTTAGAGAAAATCCCATCCTCTCTCCGCTATCCGGTGGTAACTTAAAAGCCAGAACCATAAGAAATGCGATCATCGTACATGGCAAAACAGTGTTAACTACCTGGAAAAGAATTATTTACTTTTATTAATAAAAGTAATTTGATAAAGTAAAATATTTCCTCTTGAAAATTCTTTGTTTATTTTCATTCAATTTTTTATGGATATGAAATCGAAATACCAGTAATGAACCCAAGCGTTTAACATTTCTCAGAATATTTTAACATTGAATATATAGACAGTCCAAACTATTACATAAATTTAGATTGGCGCTGATCAGGAGAATTAAACGCCCCGAATTCGAGAAAGTCATGAATATTCTGGCTACGTAGATAACTTCATGATAGGTGACAGAAGGCAAATGTAATGTAACATCTAATTCCAGTGGCAGAAATTCTCATTTTAAAAATATTGAATTTGATAGGTAGGTAAAACCTGAAAAAGTGGTCTTCGTTTGAAGAACATTCTTAGAGTAGCAGTAGGAAACGACGATACACCTCGAACACTCACTCCTGTTTCGATGGAATAACCTACAACGAAATAATACGGCTTAGTTCTGCAAAATAGAAATTATAGATGTTGTGAATGTGATAAGAAAGGTTCCTCGAATTTCTCGTTGATTTTTTACTGAGTATTTGTGATAGATCATCTGCAAGCTCTTTACAAATTATTTTAAAAATACTGTTTCATTGAAATTAACATATGTACATACTCTTATATTCCCATCCTCCATTTTCGTTGTAAAATGACATATCTAAACCACTATCTGCCCATGACAATTCTATTTCAGCTACGGAATAACCCCACGCTGCAATTACTACGTCACATTCCTGGGTATCAAAGGGGTAATAGGTTGTATCCGACTCGCAGTGTGTGGTATAAACATCTATTGGGTTGTATACGCAATTTCCATTACTAAGAATCCGAATCAGGTTTAAGGAATCTGCGTCCATCATAATTGAAATGGAACTTACTCTGTTGAAATGAACATATTTTTTTCGATTAGTGAAAATGTGGATTCAAATATTAGCAAGAATCCTACAATAACCTTAATATTTGGTTTTCGATCATGAGCAATTCTCATTCCATTAAAAATACAGATAACTGTGATTTCTGATCTGATATAATACAATCAATTTACTTATTTTTTTTAACTTATCAGTGAAAATTTTTGCTTTAAAAAGGTTTTAACAAGACAGCAAAATCTGACGACATATAATCATATCCGGTCCCAATTTTTATGCACCAGATGCGCATTTCGACAAATTATGTCTCTTCAGTGATGCTCATTCTGAAACGTTGGAAATCCAAAATATTTTTTTTAAAAACTTTGAAAGCTGAAAAAAGTTGCCAAAGACTGTAGCCAAGTACGTCGAAGGATCAGAACTATGCATGAGGAAGATAACTCATAATTTTGAAATAAATTTCTAAATTTTACCCCAGCAATTAATTATACATCCGTATTTTCAAGCTAGTACCGAAGTACTTAGCTACTGGACTGAAGAGACCCTCGGGGACTAACAGTCCACCACCAGAGGTCTCGACCCAGGTGTCATAATGTAAATCATATACGGTATCAATTTTGATGCAACAGAAACGCATTTCGACAAATTGTGTCTCTTTAGTGATGCTCATGCCGAAACGTTAGAAATCCAAATTATTTTTTTTAAATATATTGTAAAGCAGTGACAGTGAATCAAAAAAACATTATGAAAATATAGAAGACTTAATACAAATCTCGGATGAGATTAGCTCGGCTGGTAATTTGGACGGATGACTTCACCAGATCTCAGACAGTCCTTCATAGTGTCTGGACTTTGGTCGGTTTAAATATTTTAAAATCTACACCGGTCGGTTCCAGCTTTTTATGTGCACATATAGGTGTAAATGCTGTTCGCTCCAAATTAGTGATTTGAATGTTTTAACTCCCTCCATATTACTATAAAAATTACATCGCTTACTGTATACATATGTAAATGCAAAAGTAAACACAAACACTAACTTTTCCTTGTAAATGATTTATCCCGCAGGGCAATCTTATTTCCGGGAATTGGGCAATTTCTATAGCCTGTTTTTTTTTTTCTAGTAATTCTCCGACATAGGCCTATGTACAGTACATATTTATCACACCTATTAAAACAGACTACTGGAATTTTTCAATACCATGAGATAAAGAATCATGTCTTGGAAACTACCAGTTGAACGTAAATCTTGTGTTTGTTTTTCTTTTAGAATTCACATATTTTGCATTAAACAATGAAGTTTTATCAGTAAAAAGAGATGTTTGTTTGGGTCCCTTCCAGAATTTTTCACTTAAATTATGACATTAACAATAAATATCCAGCCTGGCCAAATCTAAGCCGAGATTTATCCTCTCACCACAAAATTTACCCAAGTCTCATTGTTTTTTTTCTGATAAATTAATATGTATATGGAACGTACGTCATACTATAGACCAAGCGCTAGCTTTCAGTAAGTTCAGTATTGAGTATTCTTAATGATTATATACTAATGTCTCGATGGATGGTTTTCTTTATTACAAAAATCTCAATCTTAAACAATCATGACATATTTCATCTTATACCTTGAGTGCAGGTAGATTTATACAGAAATATGTCTGCTTGCTCGTATGAAAGACTTGAGCTTTGATTTTTCTATATATGTATAACTTGATCCTCGATATTCCTCAGACATCAATCTTCGAAAAGGAGCGAAGACCTTTGTCTGAATAAACTAAGTACCTTTCGCTCTTTGTGTAAAGTTTGGTTGAAAATAACACAGGATTGAGAACACAAATGGAAAATGTTAAAAGTAAGCAACGCTTGACCTACCGAAAATGAAATATTTGCTTCCATCAGGTTTAAACTTATAACTACACTCACGAATTCTCTAAAACAAGAGTTGGAAACCACGTATAACTCTGACTGGAAAAGATTGTTGGAATATCACTGCTGTAAGTAGGATTAGTGTCCCATGCTAATCGAGAATCCTGCCACGTCTACAACAAAAGTGTTTATTTAAAAAAAAAATCTGTAATGTCCAATATTGTTTAATTTAAGGATGCAAATACTATTGGAGGTTCATCCGAATTACATCTATGTAAAAAAAATACAAATTAAGATTTTTGTCCTTTTGATAGGAGTACTTAGGTACAGCTACAGGTACAGATATATTTAACTGCACTTTGTATGTGTATTAAGTCATGCCTTATCTAGCTAGGATGACTTACCATGCTGAAAAATCCAGCCATGGACATTGCCTGTTCCACAATTTCCTAAAATAGAAGATATATAAATGAATTTTGACAAATCTTTTCTGTCAATAATTACAAGGGCATTTTTCAAGAGGGGCTTGGGTATCAAGTGAAAAAAGGTGAAGATAACGAACAGTGATTAACAAGAAGTCTGTGAGCCAATGCTCACTAATAATACCCCCGCTCTGATGTGAATATACAAGTTCAGTTATGGGCAGACACAGTGATAATCAGGAAGTGGACATTGGATCTTTACAAAAATGAATCCCAAAATATGACATCCTTAAACAAAGGGTTTGCTAAAATTTCAAACATCTGTGGCTAGTATTTGCCGAGAAAACTGCGACCAAAATTGGTTATGTATGGTACGGACAGACGCATGGATAAACAGGAAGTTGACAACGGATTCGTACAAAAATGAATCCCAACATATGGCATGCCTAAACAAAGAGTGTGCTAAAATTTCATGCATCTGCGATGAGTAGTTGCTGTGAAAACTGCGACCAAAATTTGTTATGTATGGTACAGACAGACGCCCGGATAAACAGGAAGTTGACATCGGATTCGTACAAAAATGAATCCCACCATATGGCATGTCTAAACAAAGAGTGTGCTAAAATTTCAAGCATCTGCGATGAGTAGTTGCTGAGAAAACTGCGACCAAAATTTGTTATGTATGGTACGGAGAGACGCACGGATAAACAGGAAGTTGACATCGGATTCGTACAAAAATGAATCCCACCATATGGGATGCCTAAACAAAGAGTGTGCTAAAATTTTAAGCATCTTCGATGAGTAGTTGCTGAGGAAACTGTGACCAAAACTTGTTACGGACAGACACACAGCTAGACAGATGGACAGACAGACAGACAGACACACAAGGGTAAAACAGTATACCCCCCTCTCCTTCGGAGCGGGGGTATAATAATAAAAAGCATCCCCTGTCGACCGGTCACACCCACAATAAACATATGTATTAATCAGATAGACGGAATATTAGTAATATTTATTATACTAATGTCAAATTTACTATAAGTGCAAACCCTAACAAAAATATACTATAGTTAACTATAGTTTATTATAGTATGCAAGTTTTTACTAAGGTAAATCAAAGTTTAAACTTTAGTTAATCAAAGAATTTTTACCATGGATTTTAGATTTTATATTTTATGTTCTGTAATTCATACTTGCATATTTTTATTTGAAATGAAAATATAACTTGTATATTCACATATTATTTACAAATTTTACAACATTGGTGTTGAATTACAGAGATTTTAAGCTTTAAAATCTAAAAAAAAACTTCTAAAGTAAAGTTTCATAGTAAATCAAAGTATTTACTATTATATATATAGTTAAATATCGTAAACTATAGTTAACTATAATAATTTTTTGTTTGCGAAGGCCTGACAATTAGTATGAAACACGTCAGCCAAAATACAGCCCAATGTAAGGTTAAATTTGTTAACAAGGTCATTATAACGACGATAGAATTTACAAAATGCTGACTTTAAATGATGTTGTTGAAATCCCTGTAGCATTAACTTATCTGTCAGTAACCTGCCTTGGTTTAAACATAGTTAATCAAAGATTACGAAGCTAACCTCGACGAATGTTATCTATAAGTAAGGCAAATCTCACATATAAATTTTTCCTAATTAGTTAACATCCCAACATCAATATCCGTGCAAGTTTGGTTTAAGTAAGACTTATAGTTACTGGAAATAAACCTGCTCAAAAAACTGTTAACCTTTTTACTCATCAAGAAAATTTTGGTAAGTTCCAACGTCCAAAGCAAGTCTGGAAGTTTTCATCCTTAGATGCACCATCTATGCAAGTTGAATCATAACATAAAATTTGGTCCAGGTAGGGCTTATAGTTTCTTGGAAATAGACCTGCTCCAAAAACTTTAAGCCGGTCACTCATCTGGACAATCTAGGTCAGATCCAGCATCCGAAGCAAGTGTGGTAGTGTCCATCTGTCCATCCCTAGATGCATCGTTCAATCAAATTTGGTCCAGGTAGGGCTTATAGTTACTTGGGAATGGACTTGCACCTAAAACTTTAACCAGGACGCCGAAGCTAACGCCAACGCCAACACCGGGGGTATAGCACAAGCTCATCTCGACTTCGTCGAGGTGAGCTAAAAATTGATCGAACTCAGAGCATCCTCTTGATCATGAGTATTGAATAAGTTGGGAGACATAAACACCATATGCAGGTGATAACGGAATATAAATGACGAGGGAAAAGCCGAAGTCATCTTGTTTGTCATACAATTTAGTTGTTAGAATGCCCTTATCGTCTTTAGTCAGTTAAACATTCAAATATGATACAGATGCGAGAGAATTTGTGGTGTCTTTTATTTCGAGTTCACTGGGATATATGAAATCGATATATGAATGAAGGTAACAATAGTTAATTGATAAAACGCCATTGATATGTCTGAATATCGAGTTGAAGGCCACATCTAGTGTTTTCTTTTTCTCATGTAAAAGCTTTTTAGAAAATAAATTCTGCTTCATAGAATTTAAAAAACAATTCGGCTAATAAAGGCTCCCAATTGGTGCCCATACATCACCAGATATGAAAATTTCCGAGTTCCATTGTTATTGAAGAAGCAGTTGTCTATGATTATCAAAAAAGCCTAGTCTTTTAATTATCGTCATAAATGGTTGTATAAAGTGTAGAAAAGTCGTACATTTTTATATTAATGACTTCTGAAAAAAATTGGTGATTCAAAATTTTTAAAAGTTCTTCGAAGCTTTTGAATCCACATCAGATTTTTGCTGTAGCAAAATACATCTGAGGTTACTCTCTTTACAGCAGTTTATATTTTGTGAGGATTAAAGATAGGGGCTTGGTAGAGCATTTGCTGGACCTGACAATGTAGCTTTGTAAATATTTTTATAAAGTTCAGGAATCCAGTACAGGTAGGGTAGATCAAACTCTCCCTGGTTGACTGGAATATTTAAAGTATTAGATACTGAACTGCGAATTTGAAGAATTTCATGATAAACAGAAATTAAATTAAGACCATATCATATCATTAATAATTTTTATGACTTACCAAATCATTCAAAGTGATAGGGAAAAATCTCAGTTGGACAGGGACTGTACCGTTCGGTCGGCTTAATCTTTGGTAGCTGTTTGTCGTCCATAATTCTGTTCTCAGCGAATTTTCCAATGAAAAACTATAACCGCCATTTGCTACTTTACATCCTGCCCAAAAAGACAATGTAATGTTTACGAAATAATTAAATCTAAGGAAACTTGGCAAAAAGTTTCACTCTATATACCTAGTTATTTCCAAATATTTGTTATTTACATTATTTGTATGCTTCTGTTTAAATCACATTATAATTGTTGCTACGGCTTTCATATTTCGCATGTGTATTCCTTGTGATAAGACCTTCCGTTTGGGTACCAACAACTTTAACCCTTTGACCATGGAGTTTGACCTACTTTTGAAAAACTTTAACTTTGGTCATAGCTTTTAAACAGTTGGTACTAGGACTTTCATACTTCTCATGTGTATTACTTGTGATACTAGTAAGACTTTTCCTTGCATGGGTACAAATATTTTTGACCTTTTGACTTTGACCTTGAAGTTTGACAATTTTTGACAAACTTTAACCTTGGTCATATGTTTGAACAGTTGGAGCTAGGTCTTTCACATTTCATAGGTGTATTTCTTGCGACAAGGCCTTTCTTTGGGTGCCAATATTTTTGACCGTTTGACCTTCAACTTGGAGTTCGACTTGCATTTGAAAAACTTTAACCTTCGCCAAGAGCTGCCATCCGGGTGCATCAGTGTTCCAAAAACATATCTTGTTAATCTTGAACTTAGCCCTTAACTCGGGAGACATGGTTTCTTATGACTTTAAAAAAGTTTTGTTACTAATGAAAATTGTGAGAAAGTGTGCCCGATCCTGCAGAAGTTTTTGGTAAAATTACTATTTGTACAGACATTATATTTTTAATGATATTGCTCTTCATCAAGGCATAAAAAAAGAAATAAATTAATACAATTATATGCTGGCTAAATAAATATCATAAGATATAGAAGAAAATTTTAAGATTTATAACAATTGCAATTTAGCCTAGTAGATTCAACCAATATTGGACCAAGGCGACATGGATTTAACAATTTCTGGGTGGGAGCTTCATTCACACTAGAAAAAAAAATCATTAAAAGCAGTTTGACTAATAGATTTTATAATTTAAGAAGATTTTTACAAGAAAACCATCGGCTTTGACTGTCATATGTCCAATTTAAGTCCCACCTGAATCTCGAACTCTGAATCCACGTGACATGAATTATCAAAATTGGTATTGTATCTTTTATTCATTATCACGCGTCTCCATATGAGTGAAAAATTCTCGAGAGGAACGATAAACAACATAAAAACAAACATTATCACGCACATTGATGAAGGTGATCAGTGGTAGAAAGAATTTTTAACGATGCATGGAGTTTTCTATATAATTGTATAAAAAATCCCCCCCCCTGCCGCATGGACCCTGACTCTTAGGACAAAAAAATCAGATTTTGTATAAAGCTAGTCGTATCTCTTTGGCATCAAATTAAATGACCAGAAGAAGTTATAGATGGTTTACTTAGGTAAATTTCATTGTGATTCACTTAGCCCCACCTACGATTGAACCCGGGGGACATAATTTTGGTAGAGGGTTAGTTCTTACTGCTCGTTTTTATCACGAAAACAGTTTGCCTGCAAGATATCCATGAGTAAAGGAGATTTTCCAAGATAGTTATTCAATAAGTGATCTACTCAATCCCACTGTTGAACCTAAACGGTAGACGCAGGAGTCAATATTTTTTTTTAAAATTAGATTAAGACTGTCTTCTTATAATGATGAGAAAATATTTTTTTCTAGATGCCCAAGAATATTATAGAACTTTTTTTTTTCTCAATATTGTACGATTTTTATTTGAAAATAACGATGGTACTCAAGGGCAGAGGCCTTGACATTCTTAAATTTCCTTACCCTTTTAACAAATCATTAGGAATTTGTTCATTCATTTTAGAGAAGACTTCATTCATTGTTTCAAAGTACGGACAATCGACACAGAAGCATACCGCACGACGACGGACGGAAGAAGATAGTCGTACGTCACCAGACTGGCTCAGGTGAAAAAAAAACCATAAAAGTAATTTCAATGGAAAATCAATTAAGCTTATCTCTTGAGTCTTATTTGTTCATCCATGTACAATATTTTAAGAAAATTGGCAGAGCAGGCATTGCTTATTATTAATATGTTAATAATCTATCTACTATTTACTCAGATATTTTAAAAAAATGATTCAGCAGGTATTGTCATATTGTAATTTTGAATTTACTGCCTTTTCGACAAATTCACAACCCATAACTTTCAATCAATAAAAAATATGTCAAGGGTTAAAAATTAGATGTTCCAACAGTGCAAAAAAAGATAAATATTGAATTAATTAATTTAAACAAGTTTACGTACCAGATAAAAATACGAAAACAAAAATCAACAATATGTATCTCATCTTCGTCTTGATTTCTTCTTCGTCTTGATAACTACTGACTGTTGCACATGTATTAATGTATTAAATTTTTGAGAAACAAACATGGATATGACCTACAAGAATCATGTCGCCTGATTCCTTTAAATCCTCACTCACGACACCCTTACAAGGATAACTTCAGATTAAGTATAACATTCGTATTAAGCTGATTGCTCTAATTAAAATTTCGAAAGTTTTCAGTGGGATCAAATATTTCCCGTGATCAGTGCATGTCCACTTGTCTCATTTGATGAAAAATTGATTGGCGATTGTCATTGAATGGAATTCATTTAGAATAGACGACTACTTTGCTGTTGTTAATTAGTTAATGTCCCATATAAAGGCATTCAGAACAAAGTAAATGGTATTAAATTTTATAGTGGCATAAACTGGACACTGCTAGAACTGCAAAATAATTTATAAATAAATGATAATCGATGTTATCGTTACTAATGTCTGTGTGGATCAAATGGAGAGATCGCAGAACACAAAGGGCAGTGCTTGCAACCAAACGCGATGGAAAGTTCATATAAACGTCAAATATTGAAACCCAAGTTCAAAATTCAAAAACGCAATTGCGCAACAAAATCAAGAGACCTTGCCCTTGGTAAGTAGAGTAAGTAGAGAGCTCCGGAACATTTATAAACAAGAAAGTTTTAACAATCGTAAAAAAAATACTTTAAATAGGATATTATTGATATTGACCGAGTTGATTGACATTTCCGAGGTCGAAGGGCATAGTTACCAATTTTCAAAATTTTTGAAACATTTTGAAAGTGTTTTTGTTCTTCAGTAAAATCAATGCTGATCGGGTGATTATAGATTTCTGTATTAAATACATGTAAAACCGAAGCCTTTTTGAACCGATTTATTGTTTGCTTTGTTAATTTGGTTCTTAGTATATTTTCATCGACTTCATTTTTTTCTGACCCATTCATACTTTAGCTAGTATTTGCCGTGATTTTTTATCTAGTACACGTATTTGGATTTGAAAATATCACAAAAAGGTTGAATATTAAAGGTGTAAAATCAGGAATCTTTCGTGCCTTAGATATCTATCTTTCAAAAACTGTATATTTTTTCTTACGTGGTATGAGTCAACATGAAATGATATTTCCGATTACAGTTTGAATATTTATTAGATTTCCTGGTGCAATCATGCCTTTGCACATGCAAAACCAAAAAGAAAGTGTGCTTTATTAATGATACAATCCTAGGTTTTAAAAAAACTTTTTATTCGTATGTTTCACATTTTAACCCTTTCAGCTAAAGAAAATATATCTCCCTCAAATCTGAAATGTAATAGAATTGCTGTTTATTTACACAATCAGAGCATAATTGCGCCAGATAATCGGATTTATGTAGTGAATGCGTTATAAATCCATTTATCACAGCGCCCCACGTGGAAGGATGCGCGCGCAATATATGCGCAAGCATTTGTACATTCCATTCTCACACCATTTCCAAATGTTGCACGTTTAGGGTTTGCTGTGAATTTTTAAGAAAATTTAGAATATTGCACAATGACATTGTCAAAAGACTGTGGTGTACAAAGACGAGGTTTTTCTGATTGTTTGCACTAATTGTACCGTTAGTGTACTTCAACATGCTAGAGTTTTTGACTTCGCGCCGAAAGGGCTGTAAGGAGCGTATGGACGTTAGCCGAGGCTCTTACTTGTAGGAGTATCGTTGCTGTAAATATTGACAAAGATGTCCACAACATCTATAGTCGCCAAAGCCAAACAAGGCATTACAAAATGGAGAGAGAGAATAACGTCAATACCAGCAATGAGGAGGACATGCATAATACTACTACTACACACAGCACAAACGGTATGTCATCTTGTATGCCTACATCAATTATTAGTATAATGTTTTCACTGTTGTATCAATTACATTTTTTTTTAAAAAAAAAAAAAAAAAAAAAAAAAAAAAAAAAAAAAAAAAAAAAAAAAAAATGTTCAGTTAATCGATCATTCTGTTAAAATCAGTGGGAAAAGGCAAAGAATAAGCTAATCATTACAATTGGTTTTAGTGTATTTAGTAGAATCTAAATTTAAGCACACCCTCTTCAACCACAGAGTTTAGAGCAATATAAATATAATTATGCACACGTTAAGACTGGGTTCCATAAAACTCCCATTGACTTGGATTAATTTAACCTCATACTCTTAAGATCACGCACTCGGCATCGTCGGTCATTGTTCCGATGTTGTAAGCGCCCGAGTATATACTTCATGGAGCCTTAAGGCTATAATAATAAGACTAATTTATTTATTCACCAATCAATGAGCTTTGAAAGGGGGGCATATATATATATATATATATATAATTTATAAAAACAATACAATTACTTTTATAGCAAGTAATGGCTGCATTACGTGCAATATTAACCTGATCCTCACTTGCAATATTTAACTGTCCTCGCTAGCATCCCTCATACAATTGAAAGACTAGTGTTTCGATGCCAAATATCGTTACTTATTGTGTATATATGTGCACATTGTTATAAAATATGTATTTTAAGCTTGTTCTCCCTTCGATTAACATCTTCGTGTCCGTCCTCAACAAATCAGCAACCCCGGCCTGGGGAACAATTTTTGAAAGAGAAAACCTTAAATTCCGTTACTCCTAGGCATTCAATTAATAAACATCGGTCATTCTTAAGTAAATATTAAACTACTTCCAATATTTATGCATGTCATGTTCCACCAAAGCAAGAATTAGGCGATGAGTTGAGAAATGGTTTTAATTTAATTTAGGGCGCATGGAGTGAAGAGCAAATTAATTAATTAATTAATTGAAATTAATTTCAGTAGATCTGTATCAAGACAAATTCAGTATATGTTGCTGAGTGAAATATAGCTATGGGCGAATGGCTGTTCCTTTTTCCTTAACACCTCTATCAAAACTAGGCCCATAAATCATGGAGGGGGATCAATATCCACATAACAATAAACCAAAAATTTTATAGATTGAGGGCCATAATCGGTATGATAGCACCATTGACAAGATCTTTACCTGGCAAAATGGATACAAAAAATCGTTTTTAGACTATTGTCTAGAAAACCAGATGATTTTTTGCGTACTTGGCTTCGAATAACTACTATGTCAAACGCCTTCCATTTGTTGTTACACATCGTCACAAATAAATAAATAAATGAAGTGATTAATAAATTAATTAAACACAAATGAAATATTATCTTTTTTTTTCACTCGTCAGGTCACAACCTGGTTCGAAATATGAAACGCATTTATTTATCTTGATGTCTTTCTGTTTTGCAAGTTCAGCTCACGCCAACATTTGCTCAAAA